AGGGGGAGGCTGCCTCACCATCCATCCGCCAGATGCGAATCACAGAACCTCTTTTAATGTTACTGGAGTCTCAGGCGGGGGTGCGTGGCTGGCTCAGTCAGAAGAGCGTGCGACTCTTGATCTCGGGGTCGTGAGTTCAAGCCCCACGTTGGGTGTAGAGATTATAGAGAAACTTTAAATAAAGGTGTCAGGCATGGAACAGGGCACTTAGCTAACTCGGTTGGTAGAAAGAGAGTCTCTTCTTGAGGATGTGGGTTCCACCAAGCCCTACGTCGGGCCTGGAGCCTACTTTAAGAAAAAAAAAATTGTAAAAATCTCAGGCATTAAGTTAACATTAACAGCAGCTGTATAAACAGCTGGTCAGTAAATTAAAAGGTAGATTTAGAAAACCAAATCCCCCCCAAAAGCATCTGAAAATCACCTTGTCCATTAGTCTGAATGAACAGTCTGAAAACATCAACCAAAAGGGTGTTCAGCCTGGTGACCCTACGCAGCAGGAGAGAGCTGGTGGGTGCCACCTGCCGTGTCCCTGCTGCACTCATGCCCTGCACGGGGGACGACAGGGCCGCCGCGGAGGGCCGCTCTCCTCACACGACGGCCTGCAGCACAGGACCTGACCCCGATGCGCACAGCTTCACCTACATAAAAGGGCCTGAGTTTCTGGACTCTGCTCTTCAGCAATCTTTGTTTCCTACATAAAAACCTATCCCAGAAGACTCCAGAAAGCAGGAGAAAGGCCAAGTGGTTTCTGGTACCGAAATGCTACCAGGAAAGAGAATGCTAGATCACATTAGCCACCTTCCACCTGACAAATGGGAGGACGCCTGGGGGGGGGGGGGGGGGGGGGGGGGAGCCAGGCCAGCCCCAAGGGGTGAGGGCCCCAGCACATCTACCCGAGTCCCAGGGTGCTACCAAGGACGTAAGACCCCAAAGAGGCAGGGCTCCCTGCCCCTAAGGCAGGGTGCACAGAGGAACCCAGGTCTCAGTGCTGAGCCTCACGCCTGCAGCAGCAGGGTGGGTGGCGAGAAGCCGTGCCCCCAGCACAGGAGGGGGACTATGCTGTCCTAAAGCCAGCAGAGAGGAACAAGAGACGCACCTGTGACAGCTGGAGGCACTGCTGGCTCCAGGGCCTGAGAACAAGACAGACAGGAGCCTCGCCCTCCCCCTGCCCACTGACCCTCACCCAAACCAGGATCTCAGGACGGTGAGAACAGGCTCTGGAGGGGGTCGCCATGAAGGTCCCCGGGAAGGTGCCCACAGGGACCTTGCGCTCAAGGCCAGCCCAGAAGAGCCCGGCCGGATCCTCGAAGACTGCCGTGCACAGCAGCACCCGGGAGGCCAACCTGACGCCCCTCGTCTGCCCGGACGTGAGCGACCTCACCCTCAAACCAGCTCGTCCCGTCCACCCATCTGTCCCCCACCAGGTCAGCCACGGGAGGGAAGGGCTGCCCCTGACCTCCTCCACAGCCCAGCTCAGAGCGGGCGTCTGGAAATACAAAGTTAAACCCTAACATCAAGTATTTCTGAATTTTCAAAACCACGTGAACATCACACCAAGCCCCACATGTTCTGCGCGGAACATTACTGTTCCGGACCCTGCAGAGAAGTCAGCCCCTACAGGGTGACGCAGGAAAGCACCGTCTGGGAGCAGAGGGAGGCAAACGGGGGTGCCTGTGCAAGCCACACGGGGGGGCTTCCGACAACCGTGCCACTAACCCGCCCCCGCAGGAATCCACCCCGCAGGCCAAGCCAGGTGCGCTCCAGGGGGTCAACGCTGGAGTCATACAGACTCAAATCTACGCGGTTCCTCGTGCCAAGGACGTGAACACTCCCACATCTCATCTTCCTGTCCCTACACACTGATTTCATACGTGGTAGCCCCAGGCCGGTCGCTTCCACTGGCTCACCCGTCCCATGGGCACAAAGCCCCGAAGGGGAACACCAACTCCATTCCCAAAGGGAGGAGGGACACACAGCATGGGATCGAAGCAGCCGTCGCTAACAAAGACCCCCAGTGTGACGTAAGATTAACCGGGGATTCTGACCCCCAGACCCAAGCGTGTGTGGGATGCACACGGTCCCCAGGGTGGGCAGCACGCTTAAGACACAAGGGGTGTATCCACAGCAGTCTGCGACCCCAGTGCACCTCGGGACATTCGCACAGCCGGGCCTCACATGCACATGCGCCCAGTGTAGCCAAGACTTCAGATTAAGCGGGCCCCCTTCAGTGTACTGGGATGCTCCACCCAGCACCTCTGCCCCAGCCACGCGGACCGTCCATGGACATGACTCGGATGGCACTGCAGGCACCAGGCACTGGCCCGGACCACCACACCCTCAGGAGGGCATCGGGCCCAAGAAGCACACCCTTCCTTCCCCCAGACGGAAGAGGGTCAAGAGCAACCCCACAGAGGCCCAGAATCTTCGACTTAGCTGTGGTTTTCAAAAGTATAAAAAAGATATTAAGATCCATCAGTTTTTTTAACCGAGCACTTAAACATGTTCATGTTTCACCTTTCTGTGTCACCATAGGATCAGAAAAAGTCCAGATGATGGGCTCCCTAGGGCTGGCCCCATCCCCCAGGCCAGGGGCAGGGAGGTAGAGAGGGACACGCTTGCCCGGGTCTCCAGCCATGACCAGAAGGAGGAACGGCGGAGACGGGAGGGCCTCTCCCCGGAGGGGAGAGGGCGAACGAGTTGTCCGCGTGCTCCACGGCCACACGCTCTCCAGGCCACGGCTCTACCGCACTGGGAGGGACGGGTTCGCACCTGCTACAGCCGAGCAGCCTCCGGGAAGCTGTGGCCCAAGCCCAGAGCACAGCAGAGGGGCTGACTCCAGCCCGGAGAACCCCACCGACCGGGACCCCTGTGGATCCGGTGTCCAACCACATCTGTGTCCCCTCCGACACACTCAGCCACCTGGCAACCCAGGATCGAGAGAGAAGAGAGAGAGAGCGTGCAGACAGCCTCCGAGGTGACGGCAGCATGGCAGCCGCAGCCATCCGACGTGAATGTGTTGGAAGGACAGTCCCCGCACATGTCCAGAGGGGCAGACAGGCAACGAGGGGGGCCCACTCTCTGCTGCGTCCTCCGCGCTTCGCGGCCCGAGGCCAATCGCGGACACAGCTCTTCCCCCCTACAGAGCTGCCCGCTCCCCTCAATATCAAGTGCGCCAACCCAAAATTTTGGGCGATGCGCCGAAAAGCCATTTTTGTATTCAATTTATTTTTGTGACATCTCACAGAGCCAATTTCTTACTTTCTAAATTCATTCTTTCAGAACTGCTTTACACTATCAGATGGTTCTACAAACCAAATTTACTAAAATTCAACGGCCTGATTCATTTTGCTTTTTTAAAAAGCAACTCCTGGAGCGCCCGGGTGGCCCAGTCCGACTCTTGGTTTCAGTTCAGGTCATGATCTCACGGTTTCCTGAGCTGGGGGCCCGCATCGCGCTCTATGCTGACAGCACGGAGTCTGCTTGGGATTCTTTCTCTCTCCCTCTCTCTGTCCCTCCCCTGCTCGCACTGTCTCACTCCAAAAAATAAATTAAGAAGCTTAAGGAAAAAAAGCAAACCCCGTTTCTTCTCACTCGCCCAGCTTTCCTCTCCTTCCCCGCCCACTGCGGTCACCGCGAAACGGCCTTCAGAGCAAAGCCCTGAAAACAAACCACTCCTCGCACATATGCAAACCCAAACTCCCAGCCCGGCACACAGGCGTGCGTCCGAGGGGCCCAGGCCTCACCTCCTGTGGCTCCCACCCGACGTGGCCAGCACGGTAATGACTTCCCTGGGCGTCCCCACATGTCCAGAAACACGAGGTGACACAGGCAGAGGAGAGTCGTTCGCACAGCCCGCAGCCTAGACAGCCCAGGGCACACACGGGTCCTCCTGCACTTCTAGAAGCGGCCCGGACCGGGGCTCGCGGGCGGGGAGTCTGGGGCCTGGGGCCTGACGGGCCGGCAACTCGCGCAGCCTCCGGCAGGCGCTGCTCCCGGGGAGTCGCAGGGACCGCTCAGCGCGTCAGGAGGGCAGGCGACGCTGAGGGCACAGGACCACGTACCTGCTGCGTGCTCCTCTGGGACTGCAGGCTGGACTGGAGTCGCCGCAGCAGGGGGGCGCCGTTCCTCGACAGCCTTTTGAGCAGCCAGTAGCTGTGGGCTCTCTCCACAAACTGCTTCTTCCGCTGAATGGCCACCTGATTCGCGATCCTATTTAATCTAAAACATGGAAAAACTCAGAGTTTAGCTTCAAAGGAGTGCATGAACGTTTCATCGTAGAAACTAAGAATGACGGGGTCGCTCTTCACAGACCGCCGTCCACACCTTCGCGGCCACTCTCAGCCACGCACACCGCTATGTCACGCCGTCCCCAGTCCGCTGGGCACAGCCCGACCTGCAGCCGCCCACAGCCTCCACCCGCTGCTAACTCACTCGAGGGCCTACCAGACCAGACACGGAAACACGCTGAGCAAACCTCTCGGGTCCTTACGCGCTATGCAGGCCACACGTGCCGACCGCATCCGGCGACCAATTAGAACTGTTGCGAAGGGTGGGGGTGAGGGGGGCACGGGTGTCCCCTCCAGTCACCTCAAGAGGGAAAGAGAGGGGACAGCTGGGGGCCAGGGCCGACGGTGGCATTTGCAGGACTGTTGGGAGACAGGACCCTTGCAGGGGCCATAAAATGCAAAGGGTGTGTGAAAACACTCGCGTGGAGGGAGTGCTCACTTCAAAACCCCTCAAAGGCCAGCCAAAGCGTTTCCACAGCCCTGTTATCCTTCCTGCTGAATCAAAGCAATGATTCATCAATTTGACTCACAAGGACACCGAAAGAGAATATAAATTCGGTCATAAACTAAACACTTAATGAAAATACAAATGAAACAAGATGTTCCTCATTGAACACCAAACATCAAAATGTCAGGACGAAAACGAGAAATTTTAAGGCTGCATTTTTTAGAGAATGCAAATCTAAGCTTTACAAAATAATCAATGACAAAAAGTCCGAACACCCCCAGCTCTGCTGTGTCCAGACCCACAATGGCCTTTCCCTTAAAAACAATGGCTCTACGGGGCACCCGGGGGGCTCAGTCGGTTAAGGGTCCCGCTCTTGGTTTCAGCTCAGGTCATGATCTCACAGTCTGTGGGTTCAAGCCCCACGTCGGGCTCTGTGCCGACAGCACGCAGCCTGCTTGGGATTCTCTCTCTCCTCTCTGCCCCCCCCCACTCTCTCTCTCAAAATAAATAAACTTTAAAATTAAAAAAAAAACAGTAGTTCCAGCGCCTTTCCAAGACCGTTCCAAATCACGCTGTCGGTCGGCCTCTGGGCCGAGGTGGCCAAGGGCACGCCTCCCGCACAGCTGCCCTCCCCCTGGCGTCAGTAAGACCCACACGCCATGCAGAGAACGAGTACCGTGTCGACTGCAAAGCGCGGCTCCAGTGTCTGTCCCACACAGGGACCCGATACCAAGGAACCGGCTTAGGGGACCGGTATCGGGTCCCTGTGTGGGACCCTGTGTCAGACACAGGCCAGGGGCTTTGCCAGAGCGGCCTTGTCAAACCCCAGAGGAAGACACCGAGAGCTTTCTGGGAGCAGATGCAGAACCCGAGCTCGGGTCTGTCCACGGCCTGACCGTGACCACGGGGCCACGGGTCTGCACATTCAAGGACGCTGGGTCTCACAGCCTCAGCAGGAGGCCGGGGGGAGGACACCTGTCGGCAGCAGCCCAGAGCATCTCAGACGCTGCCGAGGGCGCCAGCAGAAGCCCCTGGGGGGCACCTGGATTCTGCTCAAGGCCCTACCCGCAGCGCTCCTCGTCCGCAGGTGGGGTTGTGCAGTCCCGGGCACCCCGTGGGTGCTGTCTTTGGCGGGGTCTTTGTTTTACCACCCTTAGCTGAGGCATGCTCCGATGCAGTGAGGTGCACGGACCGTACGGACACAGTTCAGAGGATCTGTACATGCGCAGACAGGTGTTCCGACACAAGCACACGCTCCGTTATTTCAACGGTCAAACGAGGCAACGTAAATAAGAGTATTCCTTAACAGAAAGAAATGCTGTTTAACAACAGCTTACAAAGATTCTGAACCTCACGAAACAAGCCACCAGACTCAGGATTTCTGAGCCACAATCAGCTCACAGACCTGAGCAACAAGGCTTTGATGAAAACCTATCACGAGGCGTCCCAGGGTATCTGCCGAAGAACCGCAATCTGAGCGGGTTCTGCTTCACGAGCTCCGAGTCCCAAAGAAGCGGGGCAGGCGTGGGGCACCGAGGCCGCGGCACAGGCACCCAGCACGTGCCTCCCAGGACGCAGCGGGGCCAGCCCTGAGCAGACCCCCCTCAGCCCTGCACCCGGCGAGCCCCCGGCTCGGCGACCGGCGCGCAGCAAGTGGAGGGCGGAGGGACGCGCTAAACCACACGAGAAACGCTCCCCACGCAAGCCTGAAAGGGACGGGGCCCCCCCTCCCTCAACAGTGGAACTCCAAAGGGAAAGAGACCAAAGGGGCCTTTACGAGAGGAGAGACAGAAAGGACTCGTGGGATTTTGAAAGCACAGCACAGCCTGGGGCTCAGAAAGAGGGCAAGAAGTTGAGTACCACACGGGGGAAGACAGAGGTAGACCCGGGGACAGGAAGGGGTTGCGGGAAGGGCTGGGGGCTGGTCTGCCTTCTCCAGCACACGGTGGTAACAAGGGTGTCTACCCTGTAATTATGCACTTGTTTTCTGTTTCCTTCTTGTTTTGTTTTTTACTCTGAATATTGTTTCAGGAAAGACAGTATTTGGCAAGGGTGCATCAAAAGGATCAAAAGTCTGATCTTCTCAAGGCTTTCTGAACGGATCTCACACACAATGTGCCTCCAGATGAAAGATAACCAGGCTTCTGGAAAAACTGAGGGAGGACCCAACGAAGGGCAGATGACTAAACATCAGCTTAAAGTGAGCACCTTGGGGGTGCCTGGGTGGCTCATTCAGTTGAGCATCGACTTCAGCTCAGATCGTGATCTCGCGGTCCCTGAGTTCAAGCCCCACGTCGGGCTCTGTGCTGACGGCTCGGAGCCTGGAGCCTGTTTCGGATTCTGTGTCCCCCCCCTCTCTGCCCCACCCTTGCCTGTGCTCTGCCTCTCTCTGTCTCTCAAAAATAAATAAATGTAATAAAAAAAAATTTGTTTTAAATAAATAAAGTGAGCACCTCGCTATGATAAAACTGCTCTTACACCATCTACTTACGTATGTGACCAGGAAGCAGACTCCCGTCCACGGTAGCGGGAAGCAGGAACAGAATTAAGGGAGAGCGTGTCTCATCGGAGCAGGAAGGACATCCGTCCACGAAACACCCAGTCACCTCGGCCCATTTCCTCAGAGCTGCGCCCAGCACATACCACTCACGGAAGAATCCCGCTGAAGCGCACGCCGGCAGACGCGACGCCACCCGATCAGGAAGAAACCCCCACCCTCGAGGCCCAGCGACAACCACAGGACAGCAGTCACCCTTGGCGGGAAGACACCGACGCACAAGGCCCGACGACCCAGGTTCCACTCAACTCACTTTCAGAAACGATGAGCCTCGTAACCTGTGCCTATGTTGAATATTCCAGGTGACACGTTTCTGCTATTCGCTCTTAGGGTGAAAACGCTGGATTTCAACTCAAAAACGTGGACGGCACTACAATGCTCTTCAGAACTATTTTGGTGGGTGATACGCCTCAGAAAGGAGAAAGGCTGACTCATAAGGCGCGAAGCATCCGGCTGGGGGATGTGCCCGGCGGCCCGGCCAGCACAGGAGGGCCTGGGCACGGCATGAGGGCGCACAGGGCAGGCGAGCCGGGACCCGGTTACAGTGCCGATCGCGGCACCGGATGTGGGAAAAGCACCCGCAGGAAAACACGGCTCCCCAAAACAGAGTGGAAGCACGCAGACGACCTCAGCACGATCACAGTACTGATTTTAGGAACGGAATTGACAGTTTCACATTTTCCTCCCGCCCCCAAAAGAAAAGGAAAGCAGACAGTTTGTCAGAAGAGCTCGGCCACTGGAGGACCAGACAACGCAGCCCCTGCCGACAGCCGGGGGCGAGGGACGCGGACGTCCCGGCACAGGGACGCAGGGCAAGGCAGAGGCCTGGCTCACGGGCGAACACACTCATGAAACAGAAACGACGCAGCAAACCGGGTCCGTTCGGGTATAAAATGACACCGCCCACCACGAGCAAGGGGGTCTGTCCCAGGAAGCCAAGTGTGCTCTTGAGATTACAAGTTCTATCAGGACTCACACAGCGACAGACTCGAGGGCAGAACGTGACGATCTCAAGGTGCGGAAAAGCAGCAGGTCAACCACCACCCACGACCCAAGACTCACAGTGAGGGGCAGGGGCAAGGGGCCCACCGGCAGGGCTGGGAGAGGCTCCTCCCCAGACCCGGAGTGACAGGCACGCAGGGAGATGCTTCCCAAGATGGGAACCAAGACCAAGAAGCCCACCCTACCGGCTCCCGCGAGAACAGCGGGCACGAGAGGCAAACGAAGGACCGGAAGTGCAAGCCTTCCCGAGGGAAGGAAAGTATAAAACGCCACTGGGCGGCATCGAGGAAGACTTCCGCGGAGACGCTCAACGATCAGCAGTGCTGGCAAGAGAAGGACGAGGCAGAAGAGATACACAGATCGCCTCCAAACCGGTCTGCACCCTCCGTGGAATTACCAAATCCCGAGGGGCTCCGTCAGGAAACCTGACAAGATGCCTCCAAAACGTGCACGAAGGAACCACAGGTGACCAAGAGCCACACTCGCGTCTGAAGAGCCTGCCCTGGGAGCCGCAGGTGGCCGAGGGAGCAGAGCCGCCCGCCCACCAGAGGAAACTGGCCCGGGGCTGGAAGAGCTCACGGACCTCTCGGGAAAGGAGAAATTACTCAACGGCGAGCGAAAACTCAGCTCTCCACGCTGACGAATCAAGCCACACACATACCTCGTTAAGAAACGCACCCCCAAGTGACTGAAGACATGGACTGAGACACAGATCCAACAGGTGGCCCAGGCCTCGACGGACGTGCAGGGACACGTTGGGGAACTGGCCGCCCTGGGCACTGACTCCCTGCAGGGAGGCCAAGCACAGCCAAGATACAGCCAACAAATCAGGAGACTGGTCAGCTCTGGGGCCAGAGGAGACAGGAGGGACATGGACAGGGAAGCCGTGTGGAAGCTTTTAGAAGAAAACCCTGAGGTCTCCAGG